TCAACGGAGAGCAAATTCGACGTAAGCATTCGAAGGAGGCACTCCATCGCTACCGTGAAGAACCCAGTTTTAAACAAAGGGGAGGATTCAGATCAATTCTCTTCTCTTTTGTAATAAGGAAATCCAATTGTAATCGAGATTAAGGGAATACAGATCAATTTTCCTTCGTTTCTTTTTACTGTAAATTTTTCCACAAACAGTTACAATATACAATTATTACCTACAGGGTACCTATATCCAACAAACTCCCACTTGTGCTAAGGCCAATCATTGTAGTATCTAATACCCAATAGCTCAACAGGTTTTTCAAATTGTGTACGAGCAATTGCCTTTGTGAATGGATCTGCTATATTATCTTTTGTGTCAACTCTTTCAATCTTGATCTTTTGGTGATCAACTATCTCCCTGATCAAGTGATACTTCCTCAGAATATATCTGGACTTATGGTGAGACTGGGGTTCCTTTGTCAGAGCTATTGCAACATTACTATCACAGTATAAAGGTACTAGATTTTTAATGGTGGGAACAACTTCCAGCTCTGAAAGAAACTTTCTCATCCAGACGGCTTCTTTGGCTGCATCATTTATCGCAATGTATTCGACTTCCATAGTAGAGTCTGGTACAGTGTCCTACTTGGAACTTTTCCAACTGACAGCCCCTCTATTAAGGGTAAAAACATATCCTGAAATGGATTTACTATCATCAATATCGCTCTGAAAGCTAGAGTCGGAAAAAGCCTCCATTTGGAGGTCACTTTTACCATATATCAAAAATAACTCTTTAGTCCTTTTCAGGTACGTAAGTATATTTTTGACTGCTTTCCAGTGCTCTTTTCCATGATTAGATTGGTATCTACTTACCAAACTGGGTGAATAAGCAATATCCGGTCTAGTACATAACATGGCATACATGATCGATCCTACTGCCGAGGCATAAGAAATTAGACTCATGCGTTTCCTCTCTTCATTAGTTTGGGGAGACATCTTTTTAGAGAGCGAGATTCCAGGAGATGCAAGTACAAAACCTTTCTTAGAATTTTCCATGCTAAACCGCTTTAGCACTTTGCTAATGTATCTAGATTGGGATAATCCTAATATCCTTTTAGATCTATCTCTATAGATCTGAATACCCAGTATACAGGATGCTTCACCCAAATCTTTCATAGAAAATCTTTTTGATAGCCAAATTTTAACTGCTTGTAATAACGGTATGTCATTACCAATTAAGAGTATATCGTCTACATACTGTAGGGTCCTGTTTTGCTTATGTATACCAAGTGTAGGATTGTGACCCTTAAGAATAGAGTGCGCTCTTATAAAAATCTGCGGAAGCTTTACACTTGAACACTAGAAGGTGAGTTTGCAAAGTAGATTATAAATTACAAAGAAAGAATGGTAATCTCAGAAAATGAACATCACAAACACAAGCATGTATACTGCTTCCACCTTCCCGGTGTACATCCAGTCCCCAAGCAAATCCCGCTTGAGATTTCCACTATGATTTCGGATAAACTTACAAAATCAAAAGCAAACCTGACCAATTTGTAAGACCATGCAAATTATAACACCAATTGACAAGACCATGCCAATTGCCACCCAATCTCTAAACCAAGAGATCAACCTTCTCAAACCCGAGAGAAATCCTTTTTGAAGCAAGAACACAATTGATCCTATAAGCTTTGAATGTGTAGTGAAGTGCTGCAGTGGCTTAGGATTCTTTTAACTCTCTGAATACTGCCTATACAATCTCTAAGAATGATTGAAACCAAGGCAATATCAGAAACTCTCTTTTTCTAAACACTTAGCATGAAAATCTGGAAAATTAGAGAGTGAATATGCACAAAATGTTTGATCTTGCAAGTGCAAAACTTGGTGCTTGTTTTCTGATGTTTAAACCTATTTATAGCCTCTGAAATGACATAATTTTAAACCCAATTAACGTCCACAAAACGGCTATAAACATTCACTTATTTTAAACCTGAAATCTGGAAAAACTGCATCTGTAGTCGACTACAAGTCATAGTAGTTGACTACACTGAGTCTAAACAGACTCTGTGAAGTCAGAAAATTGCTTAGTAGTCGACTACAAGGCATAGTAGTCGACTACACTGTAAACTCAGATTCTGGAATTTTTTTGTTTAGTATTTTGACTGTAACTTTCTCATCCGATATCAGAATGAGGTGATTTAAGATTTGTTGGAAAGCTCTTGAAGAGACCTACAACTTTGGTCTTTTGAGTTTTTCCATATTCTAATTGATAAGGGGTGTAAATGAAATATTTTAAGACTCACTCAATATCTATAAACTCTAATGGCTAACATAGGGGATTTCTATTGTTAACCAACACACTAAACATGTGTTAGTGTGTTCTAACACTATGTGTGTGCATGTGTGTGAGTGATCAAGGCTTGTACAAATTTCTAAGCAAAGAAAATATAAAATTACATTTTAACAATAAAGTATATCTTATTCTTTGCTTTATTTTGCCTTGAACTCATCTATGTCTTGAGTATCTCTTTGAATATAATTATTGATATAGCTCTGATACTGCAAAACAAATATTAGCACATAATACACACAACATATAATATTTGTTATCATTAAAACAAACTAATCTTGGGGTCAAGATTCCTAACACATACAAAATAAGAAACAATACTATACTCCCAATTATCCTTTTATACACACATGGTTCATCTGGATTTTTGATGAAACCAAACTCTTTAATAGCATCATCAAAACAGATGTTCCATCTCCGCGATGCTTGCTTCAGTCCATAAATGGCTTTAAGCAACCTACATACTTTTTCACTGCTCCCACTGACTACAAATCCCTCTGGTTGAGACAGATATATGCACTCTTCTAAATCACCATTTAGAAATACAGTTTTAACGTCCATTTGCTAGATCTCATAGTCATAGTGAGCAACTATAGCAAGTAGGATCCGAATAGACTTTAGTATAGTCACTGGAGAAAAGGTTTCATCATAGTCCAAACCAGGTCTTTGACAAAAAAATTAGCTACCAGTCTAGCTTTAAAAGTCTCTAATTTTCCATCTACACCCAACTTTTTCTTAAACAACTATTTACAACCTATGGGTATCACCCCTTTAGGAGCATTGTCTAAGATCCATACTTTGTTGGTGTACATAGAGTCTATTTCAGATTTCATTGCATCATGCCAAGCAACAGAGTCCCTACTCTGAGATGCTTGCTGATAACTAAAAGGTTCGTCATCATCTATGACGTGATCTAACATGCTACATTCAACGAGAAAATCATATTGTCTCTTAGGTGCATGAGATCGTCTTGGATATCTGCGGAGTGGTTGAGATTCTTCTGGTATAACTGAATTTGCTGGTTCTACTAAATTATCAGTATTAATTTGTATCTCTGAAATTTCTTCCATTTCTACCATGCTCCTACTAATTTCTTTTTCAAGAAATTCCTTCTTCAAGAAGGTAGCAAACCGAGAAATAATTATATTTTGTTCATCGATGTGGTAGAATTGATATCCGGTAAAATTCTTTGGATATCCTATAAATTTACACAATACTGAGTGTGCCTCTAACTTTTTGGGATCTTGCTTTTTTACATAAGCATGACATCCCCAAATCTTAATATAATTAAGATGTAGTTTCTTCCCACTTCATATCTCATATGGAGGTTTAGGCACTGCTTTAGTTGGAACCCTATTCAGTAAGTGTGCTGTTGTTTCCAACGCATACCCCAAGAATGAAAAAGGTAACTCAGCATTACTCATCATAGAACGTACCATATCTAATAGGGTACGATTCCTCCTTTCTGATACGCTATTATGCTGTGGTGTAAAGGGTGGAATAACCTGAGAGAGAATCTCATTCTCTTTTAAAAACCCCAGGAATTCCGACATTAAGTATTCACCTCCTCGATCTGATCGAAGAATTTTAACTTTCTTGCTCATTTGGTTCTCTACTTCATTTTTATACTCGATAAATTTCTCAAATGCTTTAGACTTGTGTTTTATCAAAAACACATGTCCAAATCTTGAAAATTCATCAGTAAAAGTAATAAAGTAGGAGTAACCACCTCTAGCCATTGTAGACATAGGACCACATACATCACTATGTATCAGTCCTAAGAGTTCGTAACTTTTGCTCCAGTTCCCGTAAATGGAGTCTTTGTCATTTTACCTTTAAGACAAGACTTGTAAGTATCATAAGACTCAAAGTCAAATAGATCTAAATATCCATGCTTATGTAGCTCACCAAGTCTTTCTTTATTAATATGACCAAGTCTACAATGTCATAAGAAAGAGTCGTTCATAACCGAGTGCTTTCTTTTATTAGTGTGATGAGTATTCAGAATTGTGTTTTGATTAAGAATATAGATGTCATTACACAATGATCCATAAACAATCAACTTTTGATTAAATATGATATTCATAACATTGTTCTCCAACTTGAATATATATCCATCTTTATCTAATAAAGATATAGATATTATATTGCACATCATAGTTGGTATAAAATAACAGCTTTTCAAAATCAAAATGTTTCTATTTGGCAAAACTAGATGAAAATCCCCTACTGCAAGTGTAGCAACTATTGCACCATTGTCAACTTGTAGGATCATCTCTCCAGCTCCAAGTTTCCTATAACTTCTCAACCCATGTAACAAATTACAGATATGAGATCTTGATACGGTATCTAATACCACTAGTAAAAATTCACGTATCCTAGACAGAATATTCTAGACGGAAATTTTTCCGTCTAGAATGTATTAAACTAGACGGAAAATTTCCGTCTAGAATATTCCGTCTAGGATAAAATATTCTAGACGGAAATTTCCGTCTAGAATAGTATTCTAGACGGAAATTTTATTTTTAATTTTTTTTAAAAAAAATCCTGACATCCTAGACGGAAATTTCCGTCTAGAATGTATTCTAGACGGAAATTTCCGTCTAGAATACTTTCCCATTTCAAAGAAAATTAAACCCTCAAAACCCAGCCGCCCCTTTCCCCTCAAAATTTCGCCGCCCCAATTTCCCCCCAAAATCGAAAATTTCAGGAAAATCCATCAAACCCCTCCTCTCCCCAAACCCAAACCCCAACCCCAACATCCTCCTCTTGTTCCGTTCCATCTCCTCCCTGAGCCCGTCCCAAAACCCTAGCAGCCTTAGCGGCCCCCCTCCCTCGACCTCCGCCGGGTTCAGCACCGACGACCAACTCTTCCTCCTCCGACGACTCTTCTGGCTTTTTTTCGAGGTTTTCTCCCCCTTGTCGCCTGATCGCTGAGATTCCTCCTCCATTTGAGGAGGAGGAGGACAGGAAGGAGTCGGGGAGCGCGAATTTTGAGCGAGGGCCTTTTGGAGCCTGGAATTCGAAGGTAGGGTTTTGTTTAGTTTCTCTGGTTATTGATGGATGTTTGATTTTGATCGTAATTCATGTGCAGTGAAATCTTAACTAGTTCAGTTCACATGCCGGAGCCTCGAGGATTGGTTTCGCCTTCGATTTCGTCTTCGACTTCTCGATCTCTGCACTCTATCTCTGTTATTGAAATTGTTTCATATGCTCACTGCTGTTATTACATTTGTGGAGTTCCTTGCAGTGTCAGTCATTTGTTCCCTATATATGAGATTTATTGTATAGAAAAAAAATTATGTTTATAGTTCTGATATTGTATATCTTGTTGTATATGCTCCACCAAGCTGGAGGTGTGTAACATGCTAGCAATTACTCTGGATATGGCATTGCAGGTTATTCTCTTGGACACTAGATACCATAGGGATCCATTTTTCAGCGATGGAAGTATATTGGGTGAGACACAATGGGAGTGGTTACAACAGGAATTGAGTGGTGCTGGATCAGAGATTACCATTATAGCATCTTCTATTCAGGTAATGGGAGAATGCATATTCCTTTCTAATGCACTTGCTTGTTAGAAACTCATATTATCTATAGAACAAACCTTACTTAGTATCCAAAAGTGATGAATGATGTGACAGTTGTGCTTCTGAAGATACTTTGTTATAGAACTATTTTGGTGCAGAAGTAATTAAGCATAGCTGCATAGCCATGACTGGTGCATAAAAAATTAAACATGGTCCTTTTGGCATTTGCTAAATACTGTAAGTTTCCCTTTGGTGATCCCTACCACATTTCTAACTTGAAGTCAAATTGTCAATGGTGTTGTTACGAAGTAATCTTATAGAAACTGCGCACATGGTGCCAAATGTGGTATAGTTCCTGCGTGTAGAGTTTTTTTTAATTCCCAGATGTCCAAAGCTATTTTGAAATAACATACCTTGTATTGAAATATATTGAAATTGAAATAACTAACAACATATTGAAATAGTATACACTATATTGAAATTTTTTGAAATAACATGAATGCATTTTTTTCAATGCTGGTCACACCTATTAGACATAATACTTCTCTTTTATTTGGAGTTTTTAGAGTCTGCTGTATCATTGTGTCATGTACTGTCCATATTTGTGTCGCCATGTCCGTGTCCATGCATCATAACTTCAAGTACTACGACTGAGTCTTATTAAAGCACGGTGACTATCATAACGTACCCTAGCATGAACACCAGATACTGTAACTAAATTTAACATCCCTATTTATAAACTACTCTGGTTGCTCCTGTAGAAACTGAAATTAAACAAACTTAGCACATTTAAGTATTTAACTTCAACATGCATCATAGATGTTCTTGAGGGGCATCAGAAACAATCTTTTGGTTGTACTTGGCCCATATATGTATGTGTCTATATATATGTGTATGTATAAGGAGATTTTTAGCTGAGAAATACACAAATCAAAGATCCCATGCTATGTGGTCCTGTAAAGCAGGTGATTTTCTGACAAAAAGTTAGGAGGTTTGCTGATGTTCATACATCTGAAGGTTGTGGCTTGGATGAGTGTAGGAGGTTTGCTGATGTTCATACATCTGAAGGTTGTGGCTTGGATGAGTGCTATATCACAAACAAACTAACCAGGGTTTGGAGACTGGTGATACAATAACACAACTGTTGCCCCAATCTTTATGCAGGAGGGTTATAGGAGAAAATCTCCTGAGTGGTATGCTAGAACATGTATTTCCCATCTAAAAATGTATGATATGTGCTACTTATATTCATGTCCTGGTGTATGTATGTATGTATGAAAAATTATAAGGACTGAGTATCTCAGGCACATGCATGCTCATGTATAAATGCATTTGAGTAACATATTTCATCTATCATGTGTTAATTTTTCAAGAGGAGGGATCACAATGAATGAAGATGGTCATTTTTTTATTAAATTTTTTTATATATCTATGATAATGGTAATGATAATAACAAGTGAGCTTAATGTTATTCAGGTGTGTCGGAACAATCCTTTTTCCTACCACTGGATTGTCCTTTCTGACAGTTTTTTTATATATCTATTAAATTAATAGTTTGCTCATGAGTTTTGTTTCCTGATATAACATTTAGCATAATCTTCACATGAGTTTTTTGTTCAAGTATCTTGATGAAATTTCAAGCATTGATCCTTTGTGTTTAGCATAATCTTCACATGAGTTTTTTGTTCAAGTATCTTGATGAAATTTCAAGCATTGATCCTTTGTGTTTTTAACATGCAGAGAAATGGAATCTTCTTCAAGTATCTTGATGAAATTTCAAGCATTGATCCTTTGTGTTTTTAACATGCAGAGAAATGGAATCTTCTTTATCAGTGGTGATGTTCACTTTGGAGAGATTTGCACGTTATGACTGTGGTACTGATTATCCTTTGTATGACATAACGTGAAGTGGACTTAGTCTGTCGAGAATGTTGTGCCCCAGCCACTACCTTTCCTTATTAGAGCTGCAGCATGGTTGATACCATCTACTCTGAGAGTGTATTCCCCAAAGTGCCGATACAAATCATGCACGTATGGTATTTTATTCGCTATCTCCTTGCTGTCAATAGGTCCTTTTGATTTCTATGGAAGTGCCAGTCTCATAGGAACTTTCTTTATTTAAATGATTATTCAAGTTTTTGGGTCAGTGATTATGCTGGTTTTCATGATTTCAGGCTACTCATATTAGCGTCGGGGTTGATGTTTGTATGAGTTATGAGAGGAGACTCTACTTCAATCTCCCAAGAGTGCAGCATGTTCTTCATGCCAACAGAACAAAATTGCCTTATAGGATGTCAATGTGCAGTCAGCGAGTATTCCTATTTCTTGAATTCATATGACCTTATCCATTATTTTTTATAACTATTGTGCGTAATGTTGTGCGATAGAGCATACAGAACCTCTTGTAAATAAATAATGTAAAAGTTTGTAAACAATTTATGTATCTCTCTACTATTTTGATGAATGTATTATTTGAATATAATGGGAGTTGATATTGGAATATAATTAGATTGTGTTGTATATGAATATAATTTTTTGTTGTTCAATATTGTGTTTATGCACCCAAAGCAGATTTCGCAAAAAAAAAAAAAAAAAAAAAAATACTGTAACAAATTAT